ACCAAATTCAGTAGGGTAATAGCTGGAAAATTAACCAACCAAATTCAGTAGGGTAAAAGCTGGAAAATTAACGCAACAAGGTAGAGTATAAATTTAGTTACGATAACGTAACAGCTTCGTTGATATTAATTTAAGTTCTTCATTATTGAAAATTCCAAGAAAAAAAACAATATGATTAAAGAAATGATCCCAAAAAATATGCTGAGTTTATTAAAAATTAGTTATAAATCCGATTATTTTATAAAGGTTTACATACAAAAAAAAAAGGCATTGTGAAGCCTAATCCATAAATAATACACATCAAAGCACGTTCTACGATAGTTAGATGAAGTTCTGTACACAAAGACTGTATCTTTGTACGTGAATATTTCAGATCCTATAAGTATTTAGTTGTTCAAAGAATTAATATACAGTAAACATCCTATCGTGATTCGTTTCGTATTACTCGTGGATATGAAAGTGGAGAAAACAAGATTAAATACCAGCCTTTAATGAACGTTGCTAATAACGAAAAGTTAACCTCTGCTTAAAATATTTATTTTCCTCAGTCTAATAAAAGATCCCTAAATGTGAGCAGTATTGTTAATATATTTGTATCTCTGGCAGAAGTTATTTTCAAAGTAAATGAGTTGTATTGTACTCCACCTACTGTTATATTTGAAAGGGTCAAATTTGGTTAGTGCTATGGCTATCTAATATTACAACGAAAAAAGTCACCAGAACCAGCTGGTTCACAAACACACACACACACTTGGAAAGTTTGTCGTTCTTTTCTATCTGTATTGTAAGTCCGGAAATCTTCGTGAAAGCTCCACAACAGACTGTTTGCACTCTCTGTTAACCGTGTGGGAATCGAACCCTGGATTTTAGCATTGTACATACGTAAGCTTATTGCTGACCCACCGGAGAGACCACAATTAGTAAGAACAGTGAAATACCTGAGCATTGCGAAGCATTTCATTAATACTTGTCATCACAAGATTACAGTTGGAAAATTATCATTTAAAATGTCAGTATTATTATACTCATTTCCGACGCATGATCAAAGCCACTCAGGACAAATAATTAAACATTTTAAATTGAGAGAAAAGAGATACATATATGAAAGAAAAAATAAGTAAAAAATAAATATATTAGAGCTACTTTTATTAAAATAAAAATTACACAGGATATAAAAACGTTTACATTTATGTTGGAAGTTAAAATACTTAAAATGTTAAGTAAGATATTTATGTGGTTATTACAGAATTTATATTTAGCATTTTATTTATATTATTAAGTATTAAAATATAAAATGTGACTATTCATCAAGAGTTCTAAAATTAACAAGGTCTTTGTAAAACTCATAGATAACAATTTTAGGCTTGGCACGGTCTTCAACATATCGTAACATCAAGTTATACAGTGGCGTAGCTATAGGAAGGCAGGGAGGGAATAACCCCCTTAGAGAATTGGGATAAAAAGAATTTGGAAATTTAATGATGTTACTATAACAACAACAACAAAAAAAAAGAATCATTCCCTTACATCAGCTAGAAGCGTGTTGCTAGTAGGTGCATGATTATTGTTTAAAGGAATTTAGTGATGGATATTTCAGGTACCTAATATTTGGAAAATTTCAAACGTTTTGCACCTGCTCCCCCTATGGCAAAATTTCCAGCTATGCCACTGCAATTATATTGTACACGCGTGCATTTCTTTATCTGTGTTTTTAAAGAAATTGTAGTAATGTTAATTTTTACAGCAGAAACTAATAAGACTAAGTAACATATAACCTCAGATGTACATAGGTTAATTCAGTGAGGAGGTAACTCATTCACTTTTGAGTGCAATATTGACAGTTGTAAAACTATTTTCCTGTATATTTTCACACTATTTGAAATAAATAGTTTAATTAGTAAAATGCTCTGTTTTCAAACAGGACATTGTTCAACTACAATATTTTTTGACAACACGTACATATCAGTTTAGAGGAAGGGTACTGGAAACCAAAAATATTCATATTTTTCAGTTCAAAGTAATATTTTTATATTCCAAAAGATTGAGTCATTACTTCCTAAGACTGATTTAAATATCACATTTTACAGATGAGCAGCAAGTTAATGTGACTGTACATTAGTCTAAACCATCTAGGGACACCAAATACTATTATTTGGCTGTATTGTGAAAGACGTATACTATAAAATGTGCGAAAAATATATATCCAAGAGCTGTACAAAAATGTTCACAATAGCAATGTTCTTAAAGTTAAATAAATTTCAATGCTAAATAATTATATACTATAAACGATGTAATACATTGTAGATTTACGTAAAGATTCCAACCCTTAGCCTTACACCAAATTATTTGAGAAACTTTAGTTCACCTGGTTTAACAATAAAAGAAAAAGCACTTCGTGATGCAATTTTGAAAATCAGTAGAAATTTAAAATAATTTTGTGTACTTAAGGTTTATAAGAAAGTGCGAGAGAGAGGGGATGAATATGATTCATAGTTTGTCTTTGCATGAACCGCTTTAGTTTAAAGGCTGATTGCAAGAATGTTTTTATTCAATTCTGAAGGCTTTAAGAAAACCTCTTTTATAGGTAAATGATGAAATATCTCTTTATATTCAGGCTATTCGTTAAGTTAAATATTTGGAAAGGCTTCCATAGAAACGCAACATTGACTTGAAGCAAAATAGGCCTAAGATTATTAATTTATTCAGCGTCACAGTCTCACGATCGCCATTTTACTATCGAAGTCTTTCCACGATGTCTTTAGTTATTGATTGCGATTATATAACATCATATACACAGAAGCTTTTAATATGCCTTAAGTCAGAATGTAAGATTTTTAAGAGTTGAAAAGAAAATTAATTTTGAAATACCAGTTTCTTTTGTTTTTTTCGAAGTAAGGATCTTGGCCAACGACTTAGGCTGATTCACAGTGAGCTTGATAACAGATAAAACCGGTATCACATGGGCAGAAGAGCATATAGATGTTGGAAAAATCAACCGCGCCATTAGGATAATACAAAGTTTTATTCTGTGGTGTATTGGATGGAAGGCAGAAGTCATTTTTTTGGCCAAACTTTTCACAACGAGGAAAACTGTATCGATTCATACCTACGTGGAGAAGTGGAAGAAAATAAAATTAAAACAGTTTTTGTTCAGAGTAATTATAACTGATAACAAATAAAGTGGGGGAAAATGTTACTGAAAAATTAACATATAAATTATTTTTATCCTGTTTTTCTAGCTTTATAAGTTTAAAAATAGCACAAACGCATATAACTTAGGCCTAAGCACTCGTCGCTGTAGGCCTTGTGGCTTTACTTTACATTATTTTCGATCAACAAGTAGCTCAGAATTAAAACAGTCAGGTTAGCAGAATGCCTTCACACAGTGATTCGTGTTTAATTTTTACAAACTTAAAAAAAATCTGCCATCCCTTATTAACCCAGATAATTATTTAAATGGAACTATATATTTTTATTACGGCACAATTTCTGTTTAGGATTTTATTTATATTATTAAATATTAAAATATAAATTTTTATTATTTATCACTTGTTTATCAAAAGCCCCCTTTGGAGAGTTGTAATAAAAATAATTCGGAAATTTAAATATTTTAACAAAAAATATATTTTTAGATCTGTTGGAAACGTGTTGCTAGTAGGTGCATGATTGTTGTTTAAAGAGGATTAGTGACGCATGTTTGATGTATCTAATATCTGGAAGATTTCAAATGTTTTTCCATTTCTTCATCATGGAAAAATTTCTAGCTATTCCACTGAAATTATATTGTATAGGTGTATATTTCTGTACACATGTAATAATGTTAACTTTTACGATAGAAACTAATAAAACTACGTAAGATATATTTCAGATGTATATAGATTAATTAAAACTACGTAATACAGTCGTACGAATATTTTCACAGTAATTAAAGTAACATGTCACCAAACAATTGAATTATCCAAAGTGTTTTAGTACAGTCTATTTAGAATATATTAGAACTTGTTATATTTTGTATTTTCTCGGTACTTACCAATCACGCAACATTCTCCGGGTTCACAGTCGGCAGGGCTCTTGCATCCATAGAAGTATGGAACGCCGATTGCAAGCTAAAAGTGATAGTACTGAATTACGAAAACATATAATCACAATACAAGTTTGTGTTGAAGTCCACTAAAAGTCCTTTGTAATTTATATGTAGTGATAACAAAAATAAACGAGACAGTCAAGTCATTATATCAGTTCGAGTTATGTTTCTAATATAGATATTTATTAGGTTTATAATACATAAGTTGTTCTCAGTGCATAACAAACAGTGCTGCCCTCTTACTAAAATACAGGTTACAATAAATAATATTTCTTTCTATCAGAAAAGTTGGTAAAATTCTATAATAATAATTACAATTACTAATGATTGTCTTAATTACGAAGAGGAGGCAATCTACAAATAACATTTGTGACTAATTTGTTCAAGATTATCATTTGGGTACCCTTATTGCTAGCGGTGTTTTCAGCCGTTAACCCAAGAACACCTCACATGGTTTGGCCTGATTGGCGATACTATCATTGTAGAATTGTGACATCTAAACCTTCATGTACCACGCTTCTCACATTTGGCCAATGTAGCTGGAACTATTGAAGTAATAAACTTTTACATATTAATTTAGTTCATGGTAAAAATAACTAAAATACGTGTTATTTACATTCACTACTACAAGTTACTATAGATTACGGGAACACATACAAACTTCTTATTTAGTGTGTGACAAGTTCCAGCTAGGTGTCCACAGAACAATAGCACAACCTGACTGTTAGTATATCTGGTCTAGTTCCGCCATCTCAATCCAACGTAGCATTTGAGGGTGACTTTGTTAAGGAAAGTCTGTCCAACGGCCATACGTGAGAGGAGGGTGGGGTGGAAGCATATAAAGGAAACAAACCAAAGGCGATCAGTTCGTAAATGCGGAAGGATAAGTTAGCATAGAATTTAAGGAAAGTCAGAAATAACAAATGTAGTTTTAAATCTATATGGTGTGATAAATAGTTAGACACGTGTCGTAGTATGTAAGGTTAGGATAAAGAATGTTATATATATATATATCCTGTAGTGTTTGTGTTAGTTATTGGATCTGTATGATTTATATTGTGTCAACGTCCACAATGTGGAAAATTACTGACCAAGCATAAAACGTATTGTTGTGGGCTACGTTTGTATTATTTTAATGTTGTTTTTCACTAGAGGCTAACCAATAGCCAATAACAAACATTGTTTATCTAACCATTAGCCAATACCAAACATTGTTTATATAACCATTAGCGAATAACAAACATTGTTTATCAAACCATTAGCCAATAACAAACATTGTTTATCTAACCATTAGCCAATACCAAACATTATTCATCTAACCATTAGCCATGATTGGGTAAAAACCGATAAGTTGGATACATGTTAGATTGGGTGAGTTACAAAAATTAATCTGTTTAGTTTGAGCAAAAGAGTTTTAACGAGTTAGACAATGAGAATTAGTCAGTCTATTCACGAGTGATTGGGTTAGTAAATTAGCCAGAGTGTTTGTTATCGTTAGATTTAATGACGAATGTCTGAAAGTAAGTGATTGATTAAGTTTATACGCGAGTTAGGCCTACTAGTGGACGTAGCCTGTAGTCTGTATAAAATGTTACTGAAGAATCAAGTTAAATTGGTATCGATAAATGGACTGGACTTCATAATATTTTCATCAAATAAACCTTGCCCAACGATAAAACCCGTTACAACATTGGGTTAAGGTTGAATAGAATTATATTGAATAAACTTTAGGTACTAAACCCTTAACTTTTACACTTTTTGTTTTTTTTTAGTCCCAAGGCCGCTTACGACCATTGGGACACCTTAGATACTGATGTATCATTGAGGATTCTCTCTCTAGGTGGCCGTCCCTGATTCAGCAGTGTAAGACTAGAGGAAGGGCAGCTGTTCAACACTACCCACCGCCAACTATTGGGCTACTCTTTTACCAACGAACAGTGGGATTGGCTGAGATATTATAACTACCCCACGGCTGAAAGAGCGAGCATGTTTGGCGACAAGCATTCGAATTCGTCATCTGCAGATTGTGAGTCGAATCAGGCCATGCTAGGCCTTTTTTTTATTTTATTTTTAAACTAATAATTTACTTTAATTAACTGTAGATATACAAATCAGTTATTCAAACTTCAAAACATTTTACATATTGTTGGCAATAGTGGCGTCTCACGTACACACGAAATTGCCATTTTTTTATTCCTACTTATACCTACCTGTTATCAACCTTCTTTCTTTTGGCATGTGACCAAAAACTAATTAACAATTCGGTTATTTAAAGTATTTTAGCAGCCCTCTAGTTCAACCTGTATTTTGTTTACAATTTGTATCATTAATGATATAACTCACGAAGTATCACTGTCAAGGCAGTTTCTATGTTGTTATATCTGCGTTACGTAAAAAAAAAGATCGAACAACTTTGAGAAATATTGTTTCTAAAAAACTATTAACTTCGAAAGTTAGAAATCAGTTATACAGTGTGATCACTTACCATAATGATAGTGAACAGAATGAACAGAGTTATTTCGGGACGCATAATCATGATGAACTGACTAGAACTTGAAGTATAATCTGAAGATCCTGGTAGTAGTTTTCGTGCACAACTTCAGGGACCGTCAAATAATCTAATAAATATGTAAATGTTTACATGGAATATATTATTAACATAATATACTTAGTACTATTTGTTTGTTGGTAGTTAAGCATAAAGCTATACGATGGGCTATCTGTGCCGTGCCCATCATGGGTATCGAAGCACCGATTTTTAGCGCTACAAGTCTTCAGACTTACCGCTGTGCCACTAGGGGGCACTTAGTGCGAAAATAGAAGGCATGAAATGATAGAATAATTTGATGATTTCTTAACTAACCTGGCCCTTCAGACATACCGCTGTGCCACTAGGGGGCACTTAGTGCGAAAATAGAAGGCATGAAATGATAGAATAATTTGATGATTTCTTAACTAACCTGGCCCTTCAGACATACCGCTGTGCCACTAGGGGCACTTAGTACAAAAACAGAAGGCATGAGGTCACAGAGTAATATGATAATGGTTGGAGACGGCTTGAATGGGTAATGAAGAAAAAACTTTAAGTTTAACATAACAGCAAATGTACAACGTTTCGACAAGGTTTTGTCATCATCAGGTAACCATCTGGTTTGAGGTAGCAGGCCAGTCGGTGGTCTAATTTCTGTTTGAGTTTTTGTAAGTAGTCCAGTTCTTGATACTTGGAATTCAGGGTTGCTTTTAGGAGTTTTTTTCTGCGTGTTTTGGATAATACCTGAAAAGCGGTTTAAGTTTTTCGATAACTTGACCTTTACAAATTTAGGAATTAGCTTTACAGAGCGGCACTGTCTGAGGAAGGAAATATCGTTTCTCCTTTTAATGATTTTTATATTCAGGTTACCTGACGATGACAAAACCTTGTCGAAACGTTGTACATTTGCTGTTATGTTAAACTTATATTAAAGTTTTTCTTCATTACCCATTCAAGCCATTTCCAACCATTAATTGTCCCAAAGTGGGTTCCTCGTCATTGAAAGAGTAATATGATGATTTCTTAACTAATCTGGCCCTTCATTGTGTAGATCTGCACTTAACTACAAACTTAACATTACAGAGTTAAGCCTAATGACGTAATGAAACAGAGGCGAGGAGGCCGTGACTATTTAGGTGGTGCTAAACACACTCGCGAGCATTGAAAAATGTCCAATCAATTTTAAGTCAACAAGAGCACCGCTGCAGCATGTAACATGTTATTCAATAATTCCCAAGTTTACGGACTTACAACGCGAAAATCCGGGGCTAGATTCCTCGCAGTGGACAGGGCACAGTTAATCCATTGTGTAATCTTGCGCTAAAACAAACAAAAGGCCAGTTGACTCGTCCAGTCAACAGGGCCATATTTAGGACTTGGAAGGTTCGGGGGTAACATTATATGGGGGAGAGGGGCTCAGAACTGACTTCCTGATGTTCGGAATCTATCATTGGAATGAATTAAAGAGCTAATCAAAGTTTCTCAACGAATTAATTCTGACCTCCACGTCGTATTTACACTTATATTGCTTTAATATAAATTTTAATAATATATATATACACACACACACACACACAATATATATATAACTATATATATAATTATAAAGTAGTC